ATAATAAATAAATAAATAAATAAAAATCAACCACAGAGATAGAACTGTTGTTGAGATATATTCACCTATATTCACTCATTAGTGTAGTGTTTAATATCCCATTAGTGTAGTAATATTATAGATAGACTAGAGAGTGATAAATTATCGCTTGTCTTGGACTTATGTGTATATGTGGAAATAATGTAGAATGAGAGAGTCATAATATAGAAAGCATAACAAAGAATCAGAAACAATTAAAGTGGACATTCCCCTTGGTAGAAGCTGAAAGATCAATGCTGTACAGTCCAACAGTGCTATAGCAGATGGTTACACTTATTCAAAAACCAAAAATTGTAAATATCATTTACGAGGATGTGGCTGGTAATCTTAAACCTGTGGTGTATAAACCATGGCAAGGGAAAATGACTGAAACCAGAATCTCGTGGTTTAACCACAAATGTAGATGTGAAGAAAAAAGGAACTGGCTAGACTATTAAGACAAATAAACAAAGATAAATCATTTGACAGGGTACAAATGAACTCTGAAAATATCAAGCACTAAAAAGTAGGAACAAATAAGGTTACTATAAAAGCCAGTGGTGAGAATTAAGACTGTCATCTTTACAAAATAATGCTATAAAATTTTATAAACTAATTTTCCAAGACCAGAGAAAAATAAAGGTAGTAATAGAAACACATATTTCACCTGAGATTTGATAGCTTATTTTAAAAAGAAATAGAAGAATAGTTAATGGGTACAATTTATTAAAATTATCATTAAAATGTGCTACAAGTAAGTACTACAGATATTAAGAGAATAATTTCACAACAGACAGTTGGCAAAGGCCCAGGAAAGTTAGTGTTATCACCAAAAATGTTTAAGGCACTCCCTGATTGATCGGCTCCTAAACATGCTTCCTTCTTTATTTATATCAATGTTACTGGGAAAATCTCTCTACGTTGGAAAAACAGTGCAGTAATTCCAAGATCAAAAAGGGAGATTTCACAAACCCTGCTAACTTTCACTCCAAAAGTCTCATTGAAATAGGGTGTAAGCTATATACAACATATATTTTAAATAGATTGAATTGGCAGATACAAGGCAAATTAGAACAGAAGAACAGGCAGGCTTCAGAAAGTCCATATATTACTATATACAGATGGCATAGTACACATATTGACAACATAAATTGGAATGAAAAGAATCCTGGCAGAATTTCAAAGTTATTTTAGGAAATAATACCTAACAGATAAATTATTCTAAAGCCAAGGTAGTCATATTTACTAAAAAATCAAAGAGACGTAATGGAGAGTAGATGATAAGGAGATGTAACAACTGAGGTCATTGAAGTATTTGGGTATCCAGTTTATTGAAACATTATCTTGGAAAACGTAGCATGAACAAGAACAATGGCCATGAGATCAATGAGAGTACAGAACACAGAATAACAGAGTTGGAAGGGACTTGGAGGTCTTGTAGTCCAATTCCTTGCTTAATCAGGAGACCCTATACCATTTTAGACAAATGTTTGTCAGTCCCTTTTTTAAAGCCTCCAAGGTTTTCAGTAAACTAGAAGAATTAGAAGTGTTTGAAATGTGTTTGAATATTAGTAGCTCGGGTTGGTAGTTAGGCTGTTGGTTTAAACTCCAAGCTTGGCAATTTTGTGCAATTTTGGCAATTTTGTGCAAATGTTTCATCACCATTCAAGGAGAAATCGACATTGTCAGTTCAAAATGCACTGACGATGTCTCCTTGAATGGTGATGAAACGTTTGCAACCAAATTGCCAAGCTCAGTGCTCAAATAAACAGCCTAATTAGAAGTGTCCCTGAATAAATTAATGAGATCAATCTTAGCATTCCCTCATGTGTACAGCAGCAGGATTGAGATTAGAGATGGGCTTCCAGCAATAATGATAAAATAATAATCTTATAGGAGAGTACACAACGTGCACAACACTTATTTGGCAAAACAATGCCTCCATGAACAATTTAACAGTAATAGCTGGGTGAATTTGTTTCTAAAACCATTCTCATAATTATCGCTACATCGTGAAATGCTGAATGACATAAATTATCATAGACTATTGAGGGATTGCATAACTTCTTTAAAGATTTTAGACAAGATGGATAGCTTGAGTTGGCTAAGTGATATCATTTTTTTAAAAACTGCACAAGGAATGCCATATTATTTACTGTCTGTTATATCTCATTCCCAGAAACAAGTTTCACAGAACTTTATTTTCAAACAATATAACAGCCTATTGGATGGAAAAGTCGAAGATTTGATCTATTATTATAATGTAAACTATATCAGGAACTTAGACCTAGATTCATTGGACTTTTATTTATCCAACTGAATCAGTCTAGATTTAGAATTTAAAAAAATCTATATTTTGTTGACTGATGTGGATAAATGTGGACCAAAGCCAGTTGCATTGTTCGCAATTTAATACTGTTAATATTAGAAGGGATGTATTGAACTGATATGAATCATTCTAATTTTTTTATTTTTTCTAAAACCTATGGTTCAGAAGCATGCAACTACGAATAGATAAATACATACCACTTCAGTGGGAATGTAACAGTGCTCTTTGATGTTATGCTGGCCACATGACCACAGAAATGTCTTCAGAGAGCACTGGCTCACTGGCCTTGAAAAGAAAATGATCACCGCTCTCTATAGTTAGCAACAACTAGTGGAGTAAAATCCGCTGGGACTCCTTTTTTTTAATGGTTGCAAATAAATACAAAAATATGGACAATTTCATTTGTCTATTATTCTTGGAAGGAACAGAATGCAAGTATTAAGCAAAACAATTGCTAAATGTTAGTACCTTCTGAAACACCTGCACTGTCTTTGGGGAACCAAAAAAGGGAACTCATTTGCATTGATTGAGAGTAACAGTGGATCTTCTAAGAAACTACTTTGTGGAGGGCTTATCCAAAATCTTTGCCTTGAATTGGGTCCATTTCAAGAGAGGGAATATCATATTTGGCTGTCTCCTTTTCTAAGGATCTTCTCATTATTTCTAAACAGACAAATAATAGCAAGTTAAAGATCTTTAAAAGAATTATTTAGTTATTGCTGGAAACTGCTTGTAAAAGATTTAAATAAAGATTATGACAATTTCTAGTGATCTTGATTCTACGTTATTCAGATAAATGAGTATATGTAGCCAAAAATGTAACTCTGTGATGAAAGAAAAATGGCAGTTGAATATTTAATAACAGCTAATGGTAGCTAATCATCTTTGCATAATAACTTGTCAAAGTCCCAGTGCTATTATCTATCTGCAATTCTGATCTTCTAGCACTGAGACATGTTTCATTGCCAATGTTTTCTCAAGAATAAATTGCTCTTTTGATTTTAAAATAAATTGTTACTACTATATTATCTTTCAGCACAGTCATCATCCTCGCCTTACTGGTAGTATTATAACTATAGAATTGTAAGCCAGAAGAATTTACTTTTTAATTTCTTCATTGCAGTTCTCTGATAATTATGACACCCTAATTGATACATTTCTATGACATATAATAACAGTAGCAAAAAAACAATAGCAAAATATAGTTTAGTCAGAAATAAGTCATTTTGGGTTTATTCAAGCTTATTCTTACTTAGAGTAAGCTTTCAACCTAAGCATATAAGACCAGAAGTCTATGGAGATTCTCAGTCATCCAGGTCATGGCTGTCCCAAAGATGCTTTTTCAAGAGGCAACTGGACTTTCTGTTTTTTCTTTTAAGACGTTTCACTTCTCATCTAAGAAGCTTCTTCAGCTCTGACTGGATAGTGGGGAATGGAAGGAATTATGCTCCTTGCAGACAGCTGTTTTGCAAAGAATGCAAATGACCAGCTGTCTACAAGGAGTATAAATCCTTCCAGTTTCCACCATCCAGTCAGAGCTGAAGAAGCTTCTTGAATGAGACATTGGTGGTGGTGGGGGATAAGAACAAGGGATGATGCTATTAGATTTTCTGAGGTAATGGAATCCATTCTGGTGGATTGTGTTATTTTGTTTTTATACAAGTCACTATGCCTCAGCTTTGGGAAGCAGAAAAGGACAACCCATTTCTGAAATCTTGCCAAAAAAACCCTTGCCAGAAACTTGTACAGGAGTCAATGTTGACTTGAAGGGACAAAAATGAATTAGAAAAATGAAATGATTTTGTAGTAGTAGAATTTGCTAGTTCTTACTACTAGTCTGCCTCTCAGTGCATAAAATGAAATTATTCACAATTTCATTAGTTTGGATTACAGTAGCTATAGGCTGTAATTATTACCATGGTTTTAACAAATTTTCAACAAAGGTGCAATATGTGAGAATACAAATAACTACCTCTCTGTTCAATTTATTTTTCAAACATGCTGTTTCCAAAGCTACTCCAGTGGGACTCTCCACACATGAAATATATTTAATCAGAAAGCTTTGTGGATATATATGTATGAAATTAGATAGATGATAGAAAAAAAGGAAGGAAGGAAGGAAGGAAGGAAGGAAGGAAGGAAGGAAGGAAGGAAGGAAGATAAGTGATACTGTACCCTTTGCATGTATACATAAATAAATTCAGCATATACATTCATAGAGGTGTTCAAGCTGAAATGCAGATATGTTCAGACATATACAAAGAAATAATGCATGTTGTTTTGTTAAAACTGTAACATAACTTACTATATACTATCTAAATGTTTATTCTATATCTACAATAATACTTGCGGTTGCAAATTCAGGTTTTAAAAAAGCAAATTGAGACAAATGTTCCAGTCAGAGGAGTGATAAAAATTGTCTGGCTCTCAAAGGGGTGCTGACTGTATATGTAAACAGCTGTTTTTTCTTGCAAAAATGTGTGTCCTTTATTTCTTGTCCTCACCCTTCTCAGTCTTGCTCCTTAATCTTATTTGGTTGTTTGCCATAATTATGCTTTCCTTTAAGAATATTTTACATAATCAGGAACATGCTTTAAAAAGAAGCTTGGAGATTTCATTGTAAAGAAGTATGGAATTTTTTTTTTTGTTCTAGGCAACATTTTTCTGTGACTGTGACAATGAATACCTGGGTGTTTTCTGTGAAGAATTTAATGCCTGTCAAAGCAACCCTTGTCAGAATAATGGAACTTGCATGGATATGGCAGAAAAACATGTTGGAAAAAATTTCTCCTGTACTTGTCTTCCTGGTATGTTTTGAATCATGTATCATTTGTACAGTGCCTCCACTTCGCTTAGCACAGCAGATCATTTCTTGATACTGAAGGGATAAGGAAGCCAACAGAACTAGATATAAGTTTATATGAGGATCGCTGATACAAAAAAAAAAGACAAATGTGTGTGCGCACGTGTGTGTTTGTGTGTGTCTCCATGTATACATATACATACATACAAATGCATAAAATCCTGTCAAAGCCTAGCTTTCTCACATTTTTAATCTAGGGGCCAACTCTAGCTAAAAGTAATCTCGGAAACTGATTTAACTTGTACATGTGCATGCGACATATTTGAATATAGGTTAAATATGTGAGGAACCGGATGGAATGGAGCAAACACTGAATCCTAGCAAGTCAGTCTCAAAGGTGCCTTTTCAAGTGTTACTGTTTATGCAGAGGCTCCCTGGCACAAGGGAGGCACTTCCACTGAAGAGTGCATGTGATGGTTCTCTTGGATGGGTCCTCGGTGCTGGATGGGACAAGCAGATGGTTTGAATAGCTGGAAGGCTGATATCAGGCAATAGATTCCAGCCTCTCCAGAGTGTTTTAACATGTTTCGGTAGAAAAACTGCAAGAGTGTTTGATGGAGCTGCACAAAAGCTGGCCTGCAGTGCCAATAGTACAGTTGTGTAAGCTGTCATTGATGTGATGAATGAGACATTACACAAAACATCTTTGGGTGTATTATTCTATATTTTATGTTGATTATGATTATGTTTATTTATTTATTTATTTTATTCGATTTCTATACCGCCCTACTCCCGAAGGACTCAGGGCGGTGCACAGCCAAACAATAAAACACATCCATACAAAATTTAAAAGTAGAATAAAATCAAATTAAATAATTTTGGCTCCGACAGATTTAAAACCCCGAACTATTTAAAACCAATTTTAAAATTGAATGTATAAAATACTAAAAGATATTTAAAAATTAAAAATCTTTTATGAAAGAGGGAGAAAATTAGGCCAGGCCCGCCTGGTGAAATAATAAGGTCTTTAAAGCGCGGCGGAAGGTGCGCAGATCCGGGATCCTCCGTATCTCTGGGGGGAGCTCGTTCCAGATAGTTCCAGATAGGTGCTCCCACAGAGAAGGCTGTCCCCCTGGGGGCCGCCAGTCGACATTGTTTGGCCGACGGCACCCGGAGGAGCCCCTCTCTATGGGAGTGTACCGGCCTGTGGGAGGCTATTGGTGGTAGTAGGCGGTCCCGCAAGTACCCAGGTCCTAAGCCATGGAGTGCTTTAAAGGTGGTAACCAAAACCTTGAAGCACACCCGGAAGACCACTGGGAGCCAGTGCAGCTCGCGCAGGAGAGGTGTTACATGTCGCTCCCATTACCACCCGCGCGGCCGCACTCTGCGCCAGTTGGAGCCTCCGGGTGCTCCTCAAGGGGAGCCCCATGTAGAGAGCGTTGCAATAGTCCAGGCGGGAGGTGACAAGGGCATGAGTGACCGTGTGTAATGAGTCCCGATCCCGAAAGGGATGCAACTGGCGAATCAGGCGAACCTGATGAAAAATCCTCCCGGTCATGGCCGTCAAGTGCTCTTCTAAAGACAGCCGTGAATCCAGGAGGACGCCCAAGTTACGTGCCCTCTCCGTGGGGGCCAATGATTCTCCCCCAATAGTCAGTGATGGCACCAACTGACTATATCAGAAACCACAGCCACTCGGTCTTGGATGGGTTGAGCCTGAGCCTATTCCTCCCCATCCAGATCCGCACGGCCTCCAGGCACCGGGACATCACTTCAAGGGCATCGTTGGGGTGGTCTGGAGTGGAGATGTACAGCTGGGTGTCGTCAGCGTACTGGTGTCGTCAGCATACTGGTGGTACTTCACCCCAAAACCACGGATGATCTCGCCCAGCGGCTTCACATAAATGTTGAACAGGAGGGGCGAGAGGATCGACCCTTGCGGCACCCCACATATTATTAAGTGTTTAATGACAATTGTACATTGTTTACTGCTATTGGGGGGTTATAGTTAAGTTACGTACAACTTTGGAATTACTGGACACAGGAAGTAACAGATACAGTATATATCACTGATGCACATTTTATTTAGGAGTTGCAGCTAATGTGACTTGCCTAGTTCCAGAAGCACAGTTTCCTTACAAAGGTTTGGAAGTGTGTTACATCTGCATTAGCCTACATAACAGAATGAGATCAGCAGGCAATAAAATGGGGTCAGGTGGTACTGCATAGATACTGTAAAACAGATGATCTATTCAGTTCATGTCTGTGTCAGTCTCTCCTCTATTCTTTTTAAAGAAAGAGAAGGGGACTTCAGATTTGCACACACATAGCAAAATTGAGTTATATAGCAAACTGTGACTTTCAGTAGTATTGGATTTCTGATAGCTCTGGCCAGTATAATTAGTTGGCAGGAATGATGAATTTTGAAGTTCATCTATATACCGAGGTTCTCAATTTTATATCCCTATATGAACATAATTGAAGATACTCCCATGTCTTTTCCCTATAATACCCCAATTCTTCTGTTCTGTTAGAAGTACTGAATTGCTTTTTTATATATTTGATGGATAAATTGGAATAGAATGGTCTACCTAAGTTGAAAATTATATAGTACAGTACCCTCTCATTTGTTTATATAACATATTAACTTTAAGTACTGCAAAAAAGACCTTTTAAGAAAGCCTGTTTGATAAAAAAAATATCCTGCAATTAATTGTAAAGTAGAATTACTTGACTAGCATGTACTGTCAAGGTCAAAGCAAGTGAAAAAACATATTCACTTAGCAAAAAGAAGTAACAGTTTGGCCAACACATTGTAGTCTTAAAAATGGAAAACTGCTCAGTCACTGGAAAAGAACTGTTAGCTGTACTGCAAACATTGTTATAAAGAAATTACATCTTTAATTGGAATGCTGATGGTACTGGGATTGCTATGAGCCAGGCTGGGATTAGAAATCTGAGTTTAAAAGAAAACAAAAACAATTACTATTCTAAACAAGGTTTCCAAGCCTGGAAAGAATTATGAAAATAAAGTGGCAACATATATGTTTAGGAAATTTAATTAGTTGGCATTTTCTATACCATTGCCATTATTATTCACTGTGTATTTACATTTTCATTGATTAGGAATAGAATTTGCACAGACTTTAGTATCAAGGTAAGTGCTTCAGTTTAAGATTAGATAATCTACTAACATTGAGTTTTTACTCACTGTTTTGAGTTGTCATTGTCATATGCGAGAAAAAAATGCATTTCTGAGTAATGCATACTTCAGATACGCGCTATATATCATAGTTACCTGTTAACTTAGTTTTAATTTGACTGGGAGTGTGGTCAATTCTTTGTGATTACAACAAACTTTTTAATATAGGAACAATGTTTTGGATGCTGTTATAATATGCCAATAATGCATCTATTAATACAATGTATTTTCTTTCTCATATTTTTAAAATGATTTTATTATGCTGAAGGATATACTGGGGGAATGTGTCAGTCAGAGATTGACTATTGCATTCAACAGCCTTGCAAGAATGGAGGGACCTGCTATTCCAGTAGCAGTAAATTCAATTGCCAATGTCCAGAAGGTAAGCAGTAAGATTCAGTAATACTTAAGAAGGTACATATTTTTTATAGAACATTTAAAGGTGCTGTTTCTCTCTTGCCAAGATAAGTAGACACACTGTATGTACATATGTGTGAATACAACCAGAATCTTCCTATCGAATCATAAGGAATTCTTGCCATTTTGCAGATGTCCCAGCTCTTGGATCATTTGGCAAAAATATTTATGTCACCTTTTATGTGGGCATTCCTTCTCCCCGCACAAAAAAGGGTACTCTCTATTACCAAGTGGGAGTATTGTGAGAATTATCACTTCATAGTTTCATCTGCAGAGAAAAAATGGTTAGGCGGAGGCAAACACAACACAGCTCATTGTTATCATGTAGCTATGGGAAAATCTTGGGAGCTAATTTGGCCTCTGATGAATAAAAGTATCCGACCCTAAAGTATACGTGGACATACATGCATGTCTTTTATGTGTTGCTGTGTAAGCAGTTATTTAGGTAGTGTGCTACAATGAATAATGCCTGAGTGTTCTCATGGCCGAAAGGGAGTGTGTAAGCATATCTATTAAAATTTTTCTGTTGACTTTTGTTTATAGAGTTATCAATGTTTCAGATAATAACTTTGTGTATTGATTTTTGTTGTAGCTTTCATGTGGTTTGAAATGCTTTTTATATAAATTGATTTACTCTCAAATATAGATATATCTACTAAATAACAATCTTGTATTAGGATTCTGTAGCCTGAGAATTCTGTAAGTTGAGGCCCAGCATATCTAATAAGGTCTACGGTAGTTGGGGAAAGCTGCTGAATGCTGACAATTAAAGAGTATTTGCAGTAGCATACTGTAACGCTAGTTTTCTACCTGTCTTTAGACTGAACTTCTATACCCGTGATGGTGAACTTATGGCATGCGTGCCACAGGTGGTACGTGGAGCCATATCTGTGGGCACATGAGCGTTGCCCTAGCTCAGCTCCAGTGCACATGGCGTGCGCCAGCCAGCTGATTTTTGGGCTTTCCGGTCTTACTGGATGTCGGAAAATGGGCCATTTCCGGCCTCCAGAGGGCCTCTGGGGGGAGGAACACCATTTTTGTCCTCTGCAGGCCCCAAGAAAGCCTCTGGAGCCTGGGGAGGGCGAAAAATGGGCCTAGGGCGGGACGCATTGAATTATGGGTGTGGGCACACACACATGCGACCCCCCCACGCTCCCCCCACTTTTGGCAGACAACGGCAAAAAGATTAGCCATCACTGCTCTATACTATAATCAGTAAATTGTTTACCAACTATGCTACAGCTTATGAACAGAACAACCCCAGTAATTTAAATAGAGAATTTTAGATTTTTTTTGGCTCTTCCCAACAGATATATAAACAGTAAAAATGAATAATGAGACAGACACTAAAACTGAACTTAAACTAAATGGCTTTCTTAAAGTATCCTATCAAAGTCTGTGTCTAAATTATATGAAAAGAAGGATGGATGGATGAGTTCTCATAGTGAGTTTGGGTTTTTATCCTAGATTTGATAGGGCACCTTTGTTGTTGTTTGCTGCCTCATAATGGACCACAATATTTACACATTAAATATCTTTGTACTTAGCCAAAATAGAGGTAGATGACTGATATGCAAAATATATGTATGAATTTGTGCATTTTATTCATTTATTTATTTACATTGCTTGTATCTTGCCCATTTCCATGGATTCTAAGCAGCTTACAGTGTAAACATATTTCAGGGGACCCCAATACCTGCAATATAATCATATATAGAAAGAGTAAATATCCATCAACAGAAACTTTGAGGGGGTTAGAAATACCATTGATACAACAAACAAGAAAGGAAGACAATCTCCCTAAAACAAAACTTTCTTGCATGTATTTGGATGTGAAGATCTTCATGTAAATGTCAGTTAAAATATTAGAGAATTGCATTTGTTGTCAGTTATTTGCTGTACCAAAATGTACAGTCAAAATGTGTAGTAGTCATTTCCACAGTCATTACAAAGTAAATGTTTTCTAGAAAACATGAAAGTAACATATTCGCTGATCAGACTAATGAGGCTCCTCTTTTCTTCTTTTAATCAAGATATATGGGTCAAACATAGTACTTTCCTTCTCCACTAGCATGAATTTTAGATGTTTTGACTCTTTCATCCACTCTATCTTTTACTTTTACTTTCAGATCTAAGCTTGTTGTGTGTGGGCAGAGTGAGATTAAAAATACAGACACAGACAGTATGGCTGGGAATTTAGAAAGCCTAGGGTGTTAAGTTGCACATACTGTTATTTTTAAAGTGCCATGAAATTTTCCTCTGTGGATGTTTTTGCTATGATACTGTTCCCTCGTTGAGATTTGTTGTAACAGCAAACTGTGAAGAAGCTGGGCATTCTGTAATACAAATTTGAACCACCTTGAAAAAGTTAGCTTGTTATTTGGGGTATGTACGTATCTATCTATCTATCTATCTATCTATCTATCTATCTATCTATCTATCTATCGTTCGTTCTATCTCTATCTCTATATCATCCTGCTTTCTTCATGATAGCCTTGATAATAAGAGTTATTAGTCTCTTAAGAAATGCAAGCTATTCCCTTTAATTTAAGGATTAGTTCCTAGTATTGTGTTATCCAGAGAAAGCAGCATGGTGACCTAGTGGTGAAGATGCTTATTTCACACTTAGAAGGTTAGGAGTTCAATCTTAGGTAGCAGCAGATGTTTCTTTCCTAAGAAAGAATATCTGCTGTGAACTCTGCGTCTTGTCAGTAAGTGCTCAGCTCCATCCAGTCATCTCGACTATCCTGAATTAAGGGATTATAGGGTCATAAAAAGGAAGTTTTTATTGTGTTATTCAGGAAAAAAAAAGTTTTATTGAGCTTTTCAAGTTTTGTCCGGTTGCTTAATTGGAACATAAAATTCATGACCAGAAACAACAATAATAATATTAATAATAATGTAATATAAACGAGCTAATAAATGATTCTTAGAGCACGAAAAATGTATATCATAAACCTAAGATCAAATGGTTACAAGCCACTATTTTGAGCAAAGAAGTGAAAAGTAGTGTTTTTTTGAAGCAATTAAATTACAGAAGATACAGAAGGATGCTACAAATAGTGTGATAAATAATCCATAAAAATATGTTTCATATTCCATACTCCTGCTTACAGATTTCTGTTATTCGTGTTGAGTACTTTTTTCAACTGCATAATATATTGATGAGAATAGCTGCATTTCATTCAGCTTTCCTTTTTGATTTCTATAATTCTGTGTCATTTTCCAGCTGACTGAGACTGAGGCTTTTAAACTAACTTACATTTTAAAATTATTTTCCATCTATCATACAACTGATGACACAAACCATAATAAATATGGTTGAGAGTCTGTATGACAATTAATAGGATTAAAAGGGAGCGAGAAGGAAGAAATCTATTTGGGGTTGTCACTGGGTTTGATTCTTTGCACAACGTTGTTTGTGGTAGCAGACATATGCTGCTATAAAGGATAACTTGAGGATTTTTCTAGAATTTCTATACTCCTATACTCCTATATAATTTTATATAGAGGTGATGGGGATGTATTATACCTATGTGTGTGTAATTCTTTATATCACTTCATATCACTCCAGTCCTTTTAATCTGTTCTTCCATGTCTCTCAGACTTATGTTCTGTTAATGCCAATTAATGGTTGATGGTTAATCATCCACTTCACATTCCCGTAACTTCTAAAATCCTCTGGTGTTTAACCAAACCTGGTCGAAAGATTTCCCAGAATTCCCCGCAGAAATTATATATGTAAAGGATATTCCATTTAGATGATGTAGTAACTACGAATTTACAATCTGTTAGAGCAACTGAAAATTACAACTCTTTTTACTTTGCCATCCTTTATTACTCTTTGACCATCTCATCATTTCAAACAACTAGCATTTGTTTTAAACAAAACAAAAATTTCTTCATTTCCATTTCTACTATATTGTTTCAACTATTCTTAGCTCGTCCTTGATATGAAATGGTAAGGTTATTTTAGAACAGGCCTGTCAAACTGGTGGCCTGCGGCCCAGATCCATAACGCACAGGCCACGCCCACCCCAGCTCCGCAAAGGCAAAAAAAGTCATGGTACGTCATGATAGGTCACATGATGTGATCAAGTTTGACACCTGTGTTTTAGAATATTAAGAAACAGCGGAATGGTATGAACAGAGCCCTGGTAGTGCAGCAGACTAAAGCACTGTTATTAACATCAGCTGCCTGCAATTACTGCAAGTTCAAATCTCACCAGGCTCAAGGTTGACTCAGCCTTCGGAGAAAGGCGGCATATAAATCAAATTAAAAAAAAAAACTTAACTGATTGTTGCTTTCATGTATATATTTCTCATGACAACAAACAATATAGTATGACACATTTCTAAAAACTCTTTCCTTACCAGAGGTACAAAATGTCTTGGGTTTTCAGCAACATAATATCAGTTGATACTGCCAAATATTAGTATCTCATTGTGTATCAGTTTGCATTTTAAGTTATTTATAATATTCTGCTTAAATAACTGTAAGACAAATAAAGTAGGAGATGAGCAGCCTGAGCTGAAGGGTGGGGTTAAATATGTAATTAGTTTGGTGTCATTGCACCAAACAAGAGATCCAAATCCACACACACACCTATACTATGAATTCTATTGACTCTTTATCTAACACTAATTTAGCTTGAGCTGTTAGTTGCTCAGGTTCTTGTGTATAGTTGGCAGGAATAAACTGTTAGTGTTTTGAACCAAACTGCTATTCCTGGTTATTTGCTCCTGACAAATACTTGCTTGGAATTTGGAGAGAGCCTACAAATCAGGTCCATTTGTGTCTTTTTAGGATTCCTGGGACCAACTTGTGCAGATAAAGTCGATTATTGTGCTTCATTTCCTTGTCAGAACAATGGGACCTGTTATACAGATCGACTCTCCTATTCTTGCAGCTGCAGTTCAGGTTTTACGGGACCTACCTGTGCCCACCTGATTGACTTCTGTGCTCTGAATCCTTGTGCTCATGGCATTTGTCGCAGTGTTGGAACAAGTTATAAATGTCTCTGTATTCCAGGTATGTAAGTTCTTGTCATATTCTTTCATATCTTCTTTGCTGTTAGCAATATCTAATCAAAAGTATTTTTATTTTCCTGTTTAACATATGTGTGCTGACAAGCTGTTTTTTTCTATTAACTTTAATAACATTTATGCAGTCTATGTTTAATGAAAGAAATAGATTGAACACTTGGACATGCAAATTATTCTCAGTAAGGTATATCATTTGTCTGAAAGATTTATTCATAATTGTAGGCAGGCTTTTTTTTGTCAAAGGAGTTAAAAACACCTGAATCAAGTGATCATGGCTGTACATTAAATTATGTTACCAGAAAATTAAATCACATTTTAAATTGTGACTGCCTTATATAAAATCCATGGACTTGTATGTTTTATGAACAAGTAATATAGCATGATAGACTGAGTTGGATCATGATACAGCTAATTGAACCTCATTGAATTTTAGTGCGAGCTAACTTTATTTAGCTTTTTATCTAATTTCTGATAACTTAGGCTGCATTCAAACATGAAGTTCCTCTCATCTAGCATATATTCAGAATCCCACTTAATTAGTTTAATCTTTTTTAATTTCTCTTCCATTGCCAGCCTCTGCATTCAGTTTTCTAAACAGATTATTACAAGCATGCCCATGAGCATTTCATACACTTAGACACGTCCCTTTAAAAACAGGATTGAATCTGAAATTCAGGAACATCAAAATGCTCCTTATTCATTGGCTTTGCTCAGAACTACATTCAGAAATTCTATACAAAATGTGCTGAAATTGAGAGGAGGAGGAGTATATCTGGACTCAAACAATTAATAGAAGTCACTGCTGGTTTATAAAAGAAATAGATTCATAATCCATTGTGCCAGCATACTGGGAGAAAGAAATTCAGAAGCTTCCAAGAGGCCCTGCTTTAATGAGCTCACTAATAAAACACGACTGGAGGATTCCTAATTCAACTCTCAAGATTCTGCACTTCCACCCCTAGTTGTTGCCGCTCAACTCATTAAAGAAAGCCTGTGTGAGTTCTGCTTCCTTGTAAGGGACTTGACACTGTAATTTACAATAAGAACTTGATTCAAAAGGACAGTTAAAGCAGATTAATGTGTAAAGGAATTATTACTCCTACAATTGTAATTGTTTGGACATTATCTGCAAGCAAGCTGCCAATTGTTTCATGGTGCTCTTTTTCTTTCTCACAATAGTGACCTGAACTAGAGGAATAGCTTAGGGTAAGCTTTGTGTTTGCAGAATGTTACATACTAAGGAAAATCCTTCTAATCCAGATGGGAAAAATGAGCAGATAAGTAGAGGAAAGCATTTTAAACAATGTTTAAGTGTAGAATATTATTGGATACTTTCCAATAATGTGTTTGCATCATTGTATGTTATCTACATTTTTGCTGAATTACTGACCTTCTCCCCCCCCATTATGTCACTCAGAAATACCAAACAAAAGAGAAATTTAAAATAGGCTAATTATAATGATGAAATGTTCATAATAATCATCAATGGGCCCATCTGGAAGGGCTTTGTATTGATCCTGTCCATTATGCGACATCTAATTGTTAAGCATTGTAATGAGCTGTAATGTAGGGTTGTCTTTGGAAATAATCTGGACATTTCAGTTATTTCAAAATAGGCTGTTATAAGGGACCATGAACTGGGACCATTTCTCACTTAGTATTAAAATATCCCTAATTATGTTTCAGGTTCAATTTAGAATATTTATCTTACCTTTGCTTCTTAGTGCAAGAATTTTCAAAATTTTGCATGTTTTGTTTCCTTTTTTTAAAATTCATTTTTAAATTTGTCCACATGGTAAAAAGTCTTCAATGAAAAACTGTCACTGAAATTTCAGAGATGTCCTCACTTCAGAATGTAAAAATGAATTATATGAAGCCAATTCGTCCTGTTTTGTTCATCTGTAAGGAAAAGTACTTAACATACATTCTTACAGGCCTTTCAGACCTTGAAGAACTGTGATACTTCATTAATATTTTTCAAGGTTCTTAATGTGAAAAATATATTCAGTGTTTTCAGGAGTTAAACCCCTCCCCCCACCCCACCCCCCAATGAGAGGAAGACAGCGTACTTCCTTATCTAGCCTCTAAGAGTTATGCTGACAGGCATAGGAATGTCAACAAACCAGTGAATAGCTACTATTCAGAAATATGATATATAAAGCTGGTGCTGGGACCGGTTGATTGCTGAACATCCCAACAGAGTTTTTGATAGACTAAGTGCATAAATTCTACATAGGCATAACAAAGAAGGAGGGGAGGGATTACATTTTATTTTTACATCTTCCTTTTTATCCCCTCCATAAACTGGAAACACACACACACTCTCACACATCCCATACATTTTGAACTTTGAATAAGGGGCCTATGGGAGAAAGTACTGCAGTGTATGCTTCTGACGAAATAAGGTTAAATTTAGATGTTCTGCTGTAGCTCTCAATTATCTCTTATCAATATAGCATAACTCAAAACATCAGAGAATTGTAATGTTTGTGATATTAATGCTAAGCCTTGGTGGCGCAGCAGACTAAAGTGCTATTAAATAGCACCAGCTGCCTGCAATTACTGCAAGTTCAAATTTCACCAGGCTCAAAGTTGACTCAGCCTTTCATCCTTTCGAGATAGGTAAAATGAGGACCCGGATTGTGGGGGCAATAAGCTGACTTTGTATAAAAAAGAACACCGCTTAGGGTGGACCAAAAGCCCTACTAAGCAGGTATATACAAAAGTATGAAGGCTCTTGCTTAATGCATTGTAAGACGCCCTGAGTGTCCAGAGAAGGGCGGCATATAAATCGAACCAATAAATAAATAAATTTGATTTGTTTGTTTTTACCATAGCATGATGTGTGAGCCCATTCTTATAGCTTCTTGGATAAAAATAATTTAAAAATACCAGTAGATTATTTTTCTAAGGATATGTGTCAAGTGAATAACATATATTACCTTGTATGTCAATGTAAACTCATGAACAGTTTCCAATTTTATATTTATAGATTGGGAATATTTTGAATATTTTGAATTGGCTTTATAAAGCGGGTTAAGTGAGATTGGAGTGCCAGATTGAAATTAACTAATATAATGAGACAATATTTTGGTATCTTCCAGATGTGTTGAATATAAATGGTTATAATCCTTTAGCCAACATTAATTGACACATGAAGGTTGCCACATTGAAGAAGAATGACTAGAGCAAGGTCTAAACTAGTTGAGTAATTCTGTAACCCCCCTATAAATTACTTTCTAGACTACTCCAAATTGAATTATTTTTCTTCCAGACTATTGAATTACTGTCCTCATCCTGTAAAAATAAAGCATCCATGCTCATTATCTATCTTTCAAAGTGCCTCTTTGAGACAGTAATTTATGCACAGGAATGTATATGAGGTTTCAAGGCAAAAAATATGGGTTGATCAGTGTGGTCCTTTGATTAGTAATGAATTTGCAAACTCCCCAGGTTGTACGAGTAATAATTATGGATATTGAGAGTTATTGTTCAGCAATATCTGGAAGGACAGAAGGTCTTCATACCTTGGTCATAAGCACTAGGTAAGATCCAGCTAGATTCCGTATTTTGATTTATAATTGTAGGTGACTAGGTACCATTGATCTTAAATTTAAAGAAATTATACGAGCATTATAAGCAGTTCTAAAGACATAAGCAACCTACATCAAAGAGCTTAGCCCTCTTTCATGAATCGCACAGCAGAGGAAAATATCTTCCAATGCTGAAAAGATCCAGGAAAGAAGGGAATAATAATACTTATAATACTTTATAATGCTTTGGTAAGGCCACACTTGAAATACTGCATCCAGTTTTGGTCGCCATAATGTAAAAAATATGTTGAGACTCTAGAAAGAGTGCAGAGAAGAGCAACAAAGATGATTAGGGGACTGGAGGCTAAAACATATGAAGAACGGTTGCTAGAACTGGGTATGACTACAGTAATCTGATGAAAAGCAGGACTAGGGGTGACATGATAGCAGTGTTCCAATATTTCAGGGGCTGCCACAAAGAAGAGGGAGTGAAGCTATTCTCCAAAGCACCTGAGGACAGGACAAGAAGCAATGGATGGAAACTAATCAAGGAGAGAAGCAACTTAGAACTAAGGAGAAATTTCTTGTAATTAGAACAATTAATCAGTGGAACAACTTGCCTCCAGTTGTAAATGCTCCAACATTGGAAGTTTTTAAGAACAGATTGGATAACCATTTGTCTGAAGTGATGTAGGGTTTCCTGCCTAAGCAGGTGGTTGGATCTATTCTATTCTATTCTATTCTATTCTATTCTATTCTATTCTATTCTATTCTATTCTATTTCTCTCCACAGTTTGTCAATCTATCACAGCAGCTAAGCCTTGTCATTAAGACATACTTGATATGTCATGAATTAAAATAATCATAAAAAGTGATTAGATTTTTTTATAGTTCTCCTCTGAATATATGGCTGTGTAGCATCTTCCATGATTCTACTAGCTTTGAATTAAGATTACTTTGCCTTTCTACTAAAGTGGCATGTTAGTTATATTCACAATATAAGAATGAAAAAAGCCCTGTTTTTGTGTCATCATATTGGTGGAATATCAAATTTACGATATCTTTGGTTGTTAACAGAAATGAAAGGATTGGGGTTAGATAATTTCATTATTATACATTTATGTAATTTGTAATATCCATGTCTATGTCACACTTCTACAAATAGAAGGTCCTGCAGAAAAGTTACTAAAATGGGTATGTCTTTTGAGGGTTGTTTAAATCCCAGATTGCAAAGTGGTTGGTATGAAAAAGCTGGTATGTGAATTGAAACAGATTTGTTACCTGCTGCATGGAAAACAGGATGTTAACTAGGTTTCAGGACCAATTTGGTCACTAATGTTGCTTGACAGATAGATTGCCTGAAAATTTTAGATTATGAAATACTTGCTAAAGGGAAGTTATGAAAAATGATTCAGAAGCTTTTTGAAGATGTGAGACATATTGACAAATCTGT